CATATGGAAAATGCACAAGAAAAATCAAAATAGTATCATCAACATTTAGTCCGTTCAAAAATGGGCTATTCCATCAGCCATAACGCCAGACGGTCCTTTCTCATAAAAACGAAAGGAAACGAGAGGTGCATGGCTAACGAACAGCAAGCCAGCAAGGATATGTGGTCGAAACTACCCCAAGATTGAAGAAAAGATCAAGAATTTGCAAAATTTCGGCACGAAGAAGGGATTCTTTGCTCAAACAAGGTGCATTGCCAAATAAAAGAAGAAAAACTGCATAGGTACGAAAAATATGACTAAGTATGAGTCTAATATATTTTTTAGTCAAAACAAACTCACCATTTTCAAATTCCAAAGCGGCAGCAGCAGAAGTACCTAGAGAATAGGGAGAGGCGCATTGCTCGGACTGTTAGGCGGCTATCAGCTGTTGATATTGATTGCAGTTGACGTCCATTACAGAGAACTGTGTGCATGTGCGACCTATTGCGAGGTTGGCGTAGTCGAGCTCTAGTCTTGCGCTATGTCTCTGCGTCTCCATACTGAACAAAGTATTTCGTCTTCTTGTACGTCACCACATGTCGCTATATGTCGCGATATGTGGTGACACATAGCGACAAAGTGGGACTACCCTGGCGCTTCGCATTGATTGCATCCGCCGGCAATGATAAAGGATAGCCGCCTTGCCTGCCTCGCTCCATGGTAGTCAGCACATGTCACAGCAGACTCCGAGCTATACGTCAGCACATACGGGGGGTTTACTACAGGCCAAGATGTCAACACCTTGTTTTCCCAAGGGTGTTACTGCTCAAAACTGAAAGAAATTTAAGTCTGGTAATTTTGAATTGTAGTTCACAGTGTTTGACCTATTGCCTGCCGTCAGATAAAATGCCACATTTTTCATAAAATCTATGATCCGTGAGCAGAGACTCATAGAAAAAGGATAAACAGCCAGACATGTGTACATAGGAATTTATTTTGGGCAACTTGTGTACAGAGAGATGCGGATAGTAAACACTTTCGTTAAGCTCACAGGTCGGCAATTGTTAACTAGTATAGGTTTTGACTTTTCACCGAGATCATTGTGTGGAAATTTGGCGGTTGTTGCAAAAAAAAACTGAATACTTCGCAATGAAAATGTAAATGATCCTACGGCTGATGGCTTGATATTATATGGCTCACGAATCTGCAGGAAAATAGAGAAGATAGATCCTCCTTGTACGTGATCAGAGGCTTTCGTACTTTTCTACCGATGCAAATTTTAGAACCTTGTTACCATGGAATTGTGATCATCCCTTTACCGTACCCTTTGTTGAGTAGTACTGATGTTGGCTATTAAATAATTAATAATTAAAGTATGCTGGACATAATTATAGAGACACTCTAGAAATCGTCGTAATTTTCGTTCATGTCAGTGAATCTGTCTGAAACTTTGCTTATGGTGCGCATGTAAGCCTACCATAACTCCATAGAACGGCTTCCAATCCCGTTGATTTCGAACGGAGAAAAATGGAAAAATTCGAAAAAGCCTGTTTTGCAAGCTGGACATAATTATAAAGACACCTGGCCTTTTCAAACATTATCGCATTCCTTGACTTCCAAATTTTTTTGTAGAGTTACATCCCACAATATGAAACTTTTGCAGCACCTAGGACCTGTCATGCTACTCAAGGAAAGATGATCTTTGCATTTTTCGTTTCCAAAGGCATCAGAAGTCAAACTGCGTCAACAAACAGCTGGTTTAAAGAGTTTTCAAGCCCGCGTTCGTTTCAAATGTAGTCCTGGAATACACTTGGCCTTTTTGATAGATAAGGTGAAGAGCGCTTTTGTAAACTCTGCGTAATCGCTGATTTTGACGGACAGACTCCAACCTCACCATAGGGTTGTCGCGCTTTTGCACCACAAAACTCACTTTCCAATGTTCGTGAAGTGGTGGACTCGATTTATTACATTGTCTACATGGAGATGCATCTTTTGCAACAACTTTTAGATTTATTCTAGTGCTGCAGTTGCCATTTAGATCTGAGATACTTTCAACGAAAATTCTATGCGAGCAATAGATTCAACATAATCACAAATCTCACTATTTTATTCCCTATTTCATGTCGCATTTTGCGCGGTAGCTGAGATTAGCAAGATTTTGAAGTTTCAAGCAATCTTCTGTTCGATTTCTTGATTTGAGATGGATATGATTGTGCAGGGTGCTCGACTCAACTCTCAACGGATGACAACTGCGGCTTAGCCAGAATGTGCAACTCCGAAATTTTTTCCTGACTAGGCACACAAGTTTATTATTGTACGTGTATTGTTGCGGCTACATTGTAGCGTTTTCTGTAACTTGAAAATCGAGTTTTGTGGTGCAAAAGCGCGATAACCCTTTGGTGAGGTTGGAGTCTGATTGTCACTATCAGCGATTACGCGGAGTTTACGAAAGCGCTCTTCACCTTATCTATCAAAAAGGCCAAGTGTATTCCAGGACTGTCATTTGAAATGAAGGCGGGCTTGAAAACTCCTTAAACCAGCTGTTTGTTGACGCAGTTTGACTTCTGATGCCTTTGGAAACGAATAATGCAAAAAATCATCTTTCCTTGAGTAGCATGACAGGTCCTAGGTGCTGCAAAAGTTTCATATTGTGGGATGTAACTCTACAAAAAAATTTGGAAGTCAAGGAATGCGATAATGTGTAAAAAGGCCAGGTGTCTTTATAATTATGTCCAGCTTGCAAAACAGGCTTTTTCGAATTTTTCCATTTTTCTCCGTTCGAAATCAACGGGATTGGAAGCCGTTCTATGGAATTATGGTAGGCTTACATGCGCACCATAAGCAAAGTTTCAAACAGATTCACTGACATGAACGAAAATTACGACGATTTCTAGAGTGTCTCTATAATTATGTCCAGCACTGCATGATGCCACTGGCCACCGAGGGCATACTGTCGTCACTGGATTGAAGATTTTTTGAATAAAGGTCGATGCGCGAACCTCACTGCTTGACGAAGTCATCATTGCTGCGAAATGCAAAGACGGATCTCAAAACAAAAAAAAAATCGCATAATACTAGATGTGATTCTGCCATTATCCGGTGCACTACCGGAACGAATGTCTAAAAAGATTTCTTGCTCTAGGTTTCTGCACTTTTCCCTACGACTCTGATTCATGAAAAATCAGATTATATGATTGAAAGGTGGGAGCTTCGATTACCTTTTTTTGAGGGTCCGCAATGAGAAGCTCGACGCTGTGACTTTCTAAAGCATACCTAAGCAATTTCTCCGAATCGCCGTTGCCACGCCATTTTGTAACTTGCCAGATGCCTATAAACCCACCACAGCCCTTTTCATAGGTACATAGTCTCGGTACGCTAATGAGGCAAGTCAAGTCTTTCTTACACAGAAAGCACTTCCAGGCAGGGGTCGGCACGAGCTGGCACCAGGGAAATTCTAAAACGAAGTCCCCTTTGATCTCAAAAGTTTCCTACGAAGTCCCCTTTGACGTGTTTCGCATTTGCTTAGGGCGCGCATTGTGACTGGAGCAGATTTTTCAAGTGCGAAGCAGACCGAGAAATTTTTAGATGGCTATAAAACGCTGAAAAGGAAACATTATGAAATTGTTTTTGCTCTGTATTTAAACTTTTACAATGCAGATACAATTCATGTAGAAGAGTATGTAAAATTATGTGAGCAAAGGGTCGGTGCTAGCTTAGCTGGCACCCAGCTGGCACGGTGCCAGCTAATTCGGAAAAAGTTCAGCACAGCTTTCATTCACATAAGTTTTCATAAATTTTTGGGCCATAGTTCGAGTCCCCCAGTGCGCATGTACACACCAAATTTGGTGTCATATGATTGCGTTTTAGTTGTAAAAAAGGCTTTTGTTTGTCTCAGGGGCACGCTGCTGGCGACTTGCCGGTGGCGTGCCCCCTGGCATTCTAACAAACAGCGGCATCTAGCCCGCAAAAACGATATCCCCTTTGCTTTCCGCCCCAGAAACGATATCTAGCTTGACTCGGTGCCAGCTGTGCCGAGCCCTGCTTCCAAGCAATGAAAAGCCGTTGCAGCACCAGATCACGCCGCGATGGAAATCGCATGAGGGCAGGACACTTGCTTTACTCTTTTAAATACTTCGACGAACGCGGAAATTCAAATCATGGCCTAGATGAACAAAGCTATTTCAAATCATAAAATCTGATGAGAGAAATCGGACGTGTATGAGTGCAATGCTTTATAAAGAATTATGGAAAACTATTCAAGTGAAAAGCGAACTTTTTTCTTAATTTAGGTGGCACCGCGATGTCCAAGTTTTGAACCGCAAAACAACATGTGATTCTTTTACACTAGTCTATTTAATATAAGCTCTGACTGCTACTATCCAAGATGTCCCAAACTTCTCTCGCTTTGCGTCCTCGTCATTTTGAAAAAACTATCATCTCTCCTTTTCGCAGTATTTTTGTCTCTTACCTTTTTCTCCTTTCTGCTCATCTATCGCAGTACTGAAGCCACAAGTCCAAAATAAGGTACATAAGGAAAGGTACGCATAAGGCATACATAAGATACAAACCTCGTGATTTTCTGCGAGGTTGGTGACTTCTATCCATTTTCAGGTGATATCTCAGCCGAGCCCATTAAAGGATTTTGAACAATATGGCTTTACTGGTACCATAGCTAAATGTCAGCTTGCTGTTCTCAACTGAAAGATCAAATTGAGAAGCAAATTTTGAGGTCCCCACAGCAAGAAGCACTATTTTCTGGCACACTACTACGGGATGTGACACAACAAAAGCTTAATTTCTTCCATCTTCAATCCTTCATTTACTTTCTCCTGTGACAAAAACGAATTGTGCCGTAATGGGCCTATTGATGGAATTGCTAGTCTCTGGGGGTGTGCGCAAGTAAAGAAGGGGAGCGGGAGCAAATCCCTCTCATCCCACATTTGCACCGCTGCCCGTTGAAAAACGGCAGTCTTTCGTTTCTCTACACTTCATTATGTGACATAAGCAAGATTTTCCTCGCTATGGTGATTTTTTTACTCAGTTATTTGTTTAAGAATATTGGTATTAGTTCGAAAAATACGAGATTCTACTTTCCAGCTATTGTTCCGTATATCGTCTCTGAGCCTGTTTTGCCTCCAGTTGTGCCACCTTAGCTTAGCAAGCCCTGACGAGTATCGGCTACTGTCGGACCTTCGCCACAACTACGACCCTTATGAACGGCCTGTCGCGAACGCGTCAGAGCCTCTGGTTGTCAGCGTGAAAATCTATCTGCAGCAGATCCTTGATGTAGTGGGTAAATTAGGGCTTCTGTGATAAATGGTGCTACAAACATCAATTTTCTAGGACGAGAAGAATCAAGTCATCACTCTTGTAGCTTGGATAGAATACCAGTGGACGGATTATAAGCTAAAGTGGCAGCCATCAGAGTATGGAGGTATCAAAGACATACGTGTGCCGGGAAATGCAAATGCTATATGGAAACCGGACGTGCTTTTATATAACAGGTAAGCCTCCATACTTAGTAAGCAAACGTCAATTATTAACGTCAAATACGTTGTTACTGTTAATTGATCAATTGATTATTTTGTTTTTTCAGCGCTGACGAGAGTTTCGACTCCACATATCCTGTCAATTACGTTGTAAGTCATACCGGTCATGTGCTTCAAGTACCGCCTGGAATTCTCAAACTGTCATGTAAAATTGATATCACGTATTTCCCCTTCGACGATCAAATGTGTCACCTAAAGGTTAGTGGTGCAACTGCTGTAGTAATCCTACCCATCAGTAAGATAAACACAAAAAAGTACTTCATGTTTGTACTCTGCAGGAGATAGAATGGCTAATAATTAGCTGTCCTCAGAAGCTGGAATGCTATGCAGATTTATTGCTTGATTTTTCACGAGCATGCCTGCAATATTATTATCTTTATTGTACAACCAAAATAACTTAGCCTCTAACCTATAACAGTCATTTCATCGCATAAAGTAGTCACCATTCCTAAATGCCCCCCCCCATTGTCAAATGGAGCTATTTTATCTCATCAGTGCTTTTCGAATTTCCCAGGACAAATTGATTCTTGCTCTATTGCCATTCATCCACACTCCACTTTCCTGATAGAATGGTCATGTGGTAAACTGGATAACCATTTTGCATTTGAATTATGAGAGTTATTACCGCTTTCAAGGGATATCGCTTGCATCATGATCTCCATGCAGCAAAGAACCTTCCACATACAAAAATAAAAATCTGAAAATTTCAAATGGTGGGCCTATCTGAAGAGAAAATACGCACTCTATTTGAGTGAACCTCCAATCTGAGGTGTAATGCTCAAATAGGCCCTCAAGCTTGACCAAAGCACGCACCAGCTTGCTCGTCGCCAGCATGATTTATGACTATCATTTGGAATCGCGCCTTGACAGCGACGAGCCGTTCGGGCTCAAAAAGTGCTCAGCAGAATTATTTGGCTTTGGCGTACGTAATCCAAAAGCCCCGGACTTAAGTAAGGTATACTGAGAAAGCATTGCAGTTCGGTTCATGGACTTACAGCGGCAACTTCATTGATTTACGCATTAATGGGCCCGAGGGAATGAACATATCGGAACAAGGAATGGACATATCATACTATGTGGAAAACGGAGAATGGAATTTGCTAGGTGAGTTTCACCTACCGTCCTTATTTTAAACAATAATTCTTTCTTATTACTACTCTATCACGAATGGCGGGCCAAGACTTTAAGGATTCGCATAAAAGAGCGTGGCGCAGCCCAAAAATTCAATCTCAGTGGGCCTATCCAACATAACCACGAAACCGATATCGTGCAGAGAATGAATTCTAAACTCACAAATACATATATTTCCTTTCGCAATCTTCTTTGTTCTTCAGCGGTTCCAGCTCGCAATGAAACGAATGTTTTCGATGATCAACCATATCCATCAATATACTTTTACCTTGTCATCCAAAGGAGGACGTTATATTACGGTACATTTTTCCTTTCTGAGAAATGAAGAAATACCAATTTTTATACTGATTTTTAAAGGCTTAAATTTGATAATACCATCGCTTCTCATATCACTCATGACAGTGCTTGGATTCACGCTGCCTCCAGATGCTGGAGAAAAAATCACTCTAGGTAAGAGTATTGAATGCAGTTTGATGGGTGAATTTGTACTTACAAAAACAATGCCTGATAGACTTTAGTGCATTTTTAGAGATCACTATTCTTTTGTCCGTCTGCTTCTTCCTTAGCATGGTAGCTGATATGACTCCTCCAACTTCTGAAGCAGTACCTCTGATTGGTAAGATCTTTTTGATATACAGTGTGCTGCATGATGAAAAAACCCTCTTGTGCTTCGCTTAGGGTAGATATACCTGACCCTGTTCCTGCTGCGCGATTTTGATATCGGTGTGTTGGGCCGCGAGCATACTTATAAGATCTGGCAATTTGCCAGGTGTCTTCAAATTGAACACTCGCAAATTACAAATGCATAGTGTGTTCAAACTTTAGCTCAATAAAGGTTCAACCTTCTGTATACTCAGAATGCGCTTACTATGACTTATAAACAGTTGGTGATATGTCAGATCGCGTCGCGACTGAAATCGCTTGAGGTTTGTCCGCGGCCTTACGGTCGCGCTGCGCATGAGATTGGCAATGCGATCGCGGTGCAGCAGCAGCAGTGTCGACGCAACATCGCTGAAATCTGGCGATTTCGCGTCGCTGGTTTTTTAGAAGATTTGCGTTGTTTTGCAGATGTTCAATCAGGTAGAACTTTTTCCTGTCACAACAGCGATTCTTTTTGCAATATCTGCATCTTTCTCTCAAAAATCTTACTCCTTATCATGCCTTTTGAAGTTTTTGAGGTTTTGTGCGTTACTCTTGAACACTTTCGTTGTGAGATGTCATTTGGCAGTTTGTTTCGTCAAGCTTGATGATACTTAACTTTTAATATAAAGAAAAAACAATTTTATGTATATTTATCTCCGTTTCGTTCCTTTCCTTCGACGAAGTTTTGAGATTTTGAATTAATTCCTGTCCATTTATCGTTGAATCGGTTTTCCATAACGAAAATTTGAAGTATTCTCACTACGCAATCTACCAATGCTGATGTCAACATTAAGCGTTTATAGGGTTAAAGCTGTGGTAAAGGTATGATTGAGTTTTCAATTATTTTGAGAGCTGTTGCACTTCGCGCTATTCATATTCGAGGAGTCGCAGTGGAGCGCTAAAATCTTACTTGGAATCAGCAACTATGACTCAGCCATTGAAAACATTTAGATTCATAGACCTTTTTGAGGTAAATATGAACTTCAACGCAAAACCAGCTATATTTCTCAAGTAGTTGCACTTTCGCGTGATTAGCTGAGCCTCCCTATGTTGATCGAAAATGGTTGCAGGCGCGTTCTTCTCATGTTGTATGCTGGTGGTTTCCGCCTCTGTCGTCTTCACAGTACTTGTTCTTAATCTTCACAACCGAAAGCCGGAAACCCATGAAATGAGTCCGTTTGTAAGTTCCCCAACAAATTATTTGTGATTCCGTTGTGAGGAATCACAAATATTTTGTGATTTTCAATATATACAAATAATCACAAATGGATATTTCAGTTGCGCGAGTGCCTTTTGATTTGGCTGCCATGGATCCTAATGATGCGAAGACCCGGCACAACAGTCTTCAATCGCAAAGAAATCAAAGTTTGATGAATTACCGCACGCAATCCAACAAAAATGCATGCAACAATTACAGGTACGAAAGGCTGAGGATGTAGCGAAGAAGACGGAATTGAGGAACGGCCGGTCATTTGAAGGGGTAATAACTGCAACTAACAGCCTCTCACTTATCCGGAGCATTCGCGCGAGCAAAAACGGACAACAAATCATCGAAATGGAACACATCAATAGTGGTTTGTTGCAACTTTGATGTTATTCAAATTTGAATCCGAAGTATTGTTTGTACTCATGCTGACTTGGATTCTTTTACAAAAATTTTCACACACAGCAACTCCAAGCGAACAAGTAACATAATCATTTTCTTGGCCAAGTTTCTGAAAAAATGTATCCATCAAGAACCTTTCGCTTTCAGCATGTACTTGAAATATCTTGATTTGGGCTGTGCTGTTAGAGTCCATAGCTCCAGATCCAAAAGGGACCAAGAGCAAACTACTCCGACTTTCGTTGCGTACCAGCGGCGTTCGACTGTCCTCGTGAGCGCAACACGCAAACGCCGCTGGTAGGGCAGTCGCACGCCGCTGGTACGCTGTGGAACTCCGCTGGCAGGAGAATGGTACGCCGCTGGTACGCCAAGAGGGTACGCCTTCGGACCGCATGTTCACCCGATTTTTGATTACGTACTAATAGCAGCATTTTGATTTGAAATTTGTTATATCGTCATATTTTATGAAGCCGAAATCAGCGCAAAATTTCCTGCTGTTTCGATAGATGGACTTCATTGAATCCAAATCAGGGGATTGTGGGCCACCCCTACAACACCTAGCTGAGGTGTTATCAGGTCACTTAATGAGAACAACAACTCAATCTTATTCCTTTATCAAGTGCTGAGAAGTGTTAGCTAACCACTGAAATGCTGAGGCGGCCCAACCACTGTGTCGTATCCCATGCGGGTACGGCTTACGCTTACAGCGTGGGGTAATGTGATGGGACGCCGCTCGCTTGGTTGGGTTGATGGAACGCCGCTCGCCAAAAGACGGTACGCCGCTGGTAGGGCGCATTGAGGAACGCCGTTGGTACGTTAAGCGCACTCCGCTGGTATGCAAAGCCATTTAGGTACGCCGCTGGTACGCAACGAAAGTCTGAGTAAGAGGCAAGACAGAGTGCTAACTGAGCGTGTAAAGTGACCGATTTTGTTTCTGAAATTTTTTCTTCTTGCTTTAGCGAATAATGGTGCGATATTATTGTGTTTAGATGTTACTTGTCACACTGATATTAAACACACAATTACATCGGACACACTACGTTTACTTGAGGTTAGATGGAGGCAGTGGAGAGGGGTAAACTCGCATTGCTCGAAACCTTCCTAGAGGAGATATTGGACATAAACTAAGCACATGAGTTGAAAGCAGTGTCCGGGCAAGAACTAATCGATTTTAGGATTTCTTGCGGGCCTATTCGCTATGCTGAGACCGAAAATTAACACTGGAGAGCGTAAAAACGGCAAAAAAGGCTCGAACGCAGGAGGGAAACCAGCAAGTGGGAAGGGTCCTCCCATCTGTGAAGTTACCTTCCGGAGTGATCTTCTCGCTTCCGCTAGTCGCCTTACATCGCCACTGGCCAAGGGCGAACTCGTGACTTGAAGGCGGAATGAGAAGATCGTTCCGGAAGTGGGAAGGTGACGTCACAGATGGGAACACCCCGCCCTTCTGCTGATTACCCTCCCGTGGTGCAGCTTTTTTCCGCCGCTTTTGCGCCCTCCAGTGTGGATTTTCAGATTCAGCATAGCGGGTAGGCCCAGGTAAGCAAGAAATCCCAAAACTGACTTCTTGCCCGTCCACTGCCTCTCAGTACTTGAGACCAGAAAAAAAACCTCGAGGCAAATGGTAAAAGCGGCAAGGAAATTCAATTCATGCCTTTCGTCTAACTGGCCTATCCAGATTCCTTACATCATCGGAGTTCGTAAACAGCGATTACTTTTCTCCAAACTCGAACGCGGAAGACGGAGCCTGCCAAGGTAGTGAGCGTGTCGCCGAGAGGCTTCACCTTCGCGGACAGCTAGCCAGGGTCCACTGTGGCTTGGAGGATTGTTGAAAACGAAGTCACCCAGGACCTTGCAAATTTTTACGAAGTCCCCACTGACGTAGAGACAATAGAAAATAACAACAATTTGAAACATAAACAGCGAAACAAAGTACAAGTGTCGCCTGCTCTAAGGACACCCTACGGGCGAGTGATTGGAGCGCCATATCTATACGTACCTATAACTTATAACCTAACCTACACCTATACCTTATAATCTTACCTATATCTTTAACTTTTTTGACTCAAAAAAGTGGGGAAGCAATGGTTCGATTTGCTCTCTCCACTATATGATAAATTCTGAACCGTTTCAATCGTCCAAATTGAAAAAATCCAGAACTTATGTGAATTCTCCATTTATGCTCCGAACCAACCCAGCTGGTGACGGTCTAGAAACCAACAAAGGGTATTAGGACACATAAGTTTTTGAAACTTTTTACATAATGTAGTCTAGAGTAATATGAGATACACATAGTCCATGTTTGGTAGCTTATGATTGCCTGTGCGTTGTGAACAACCATCTGTTTATTTAAGCAACATTTTGAATTTGGCGTGCTTGATGAGCAAGAACACGTTAAAGCATATCATTCATGTACCAACTTGATGGTTAGCAAATCTGAAGGTCACTTACGTATATGTTTAGCAGTTTTTACGACATTGGCTTTGCTTTTACCCCAAAAACAAAGTTTGTTTGACTCCAAACCATCTGTGCCGGGCCCTGCAGCTTGCACCAGCTCCAGCTAATGTTATGTGTGAGGCGCGGGACCTCCTTTAATAGTCCATTAGAACCACCAGAACAGGGTTCACCAATCTCAAAAGTTCGTGACAGCTAATTTGCATCTGTTTCATTTAGCAAGTATGTGGTCAACTACTCTGTTCGGTGAAGAAAAGAGGGACGAAGACATTAGAGCGTATCAGGTCTTCTTGTGCAACCGACTTGTTTAGAAGAGGAATGTAGAACAGAACAAGTGAAAATTCGCGAGCTTGTAGTTTAGAACCGGAAACCATCTCATTGTTAACATGAAGGTCTTCTAGTTTTCGGCAATCAAACAGAATCGCATTTATACTAGACTAGCTGGCAGACCCGGCTTCACCAGGACCTGTCAATAATATTTTCGTAATGAGCATGCTCACTTACCCCCTCTGCCAACCTTAGCCTCGTTGGTAACTTCATACAATCGATAAGGTCGATATCGATCGATGACAAAAAGTAGCCTGCGATAACCGCCCCGTCCCGAAGTGTATGTGTACAAAGTTTGGTCCGGATTGGTTCATGAACAAAAATTTCTATTTGGAACATACAGTACCGCTCATAATTCGTCAAAAAAGTCGCGCAAAGCAGGGGAGTGCGCCGGAATCCGCGTCACATTGCCATGACTCACTTCAAGGACGAATTCCAAATCCAAGGACACAGTTCGACCCAGCTCGTGAGGTGCATCTTCTGATGTATAGAAGTAACGCAGTCTGTCGATAGATAGAAGTACCGCAATCAAGGTATATTGATTGTGGGGCTGGCTACATCGTTTCCACTCAGTCTCTAGCTGAAGACAAAGACGGTGATAGCGGAGATGGAGTTAACTAATCCAACTTAGCTTGTTTTGATGTCATGATAGAAATCACCAAAGCAGTACAATAAGTCGAAGTTGGCGCAAAACATAACATCGTTGGTTATAGACTGTCCCCAGGAGGAAGAGGGGGGGGGAGGATGTCATGGTACTGATGAATAGCGTGGAAACACGAATGTGCATAAAAAGAATGAGATCCTGGATAAGTATCCATACGACCTTGTTGATATCGGTTGGGAGCTCCTGTGTTTTATTATGGAGTAAAGATAATGCATGAGTTCGATTGGTAGCAATTGAAATTGAGGACGCGGCTTCGGAGCTGAGAGCTCCTGTCTGAAGTTTTTAGGCTTTGTTTCAAAACAACTTCTCTATATCAAACTTTCTTTTTTGAAAAAGACTTAGCACAGTCTTACGAAGCTCTTTTAATGCTTTATTTAATCATGGTTAAAAAGGACTTCTAGCCTTATTTATTGAAAACTTACAAAGCTTCATACAGCCGTACTCGAAAACAGAATTTCATTGCATTTACTTTCCTGGCCAAAAGTCATGCTCAAATGATGGCATGCTTTCGAATAATTAGCCACTGCATGTGGTAGAAATTGTCTATATTACGCAGGCTTATCTATATTTTTTGAGATTATCTAAGCTGAGATATTGACACCTCAAAATGGGTAGTCGTTGCTGTCATTCTGTGGCCCATGAATTTCTATTGAAGAAAGCAATTGCCAAACTTTGCTCATTTTTGTAAGCGTAAAGGTAGGATTGCTTTATTTAATCATGGTTAAAAAGGACTTCTAGCCTTATTTATTGAAAACCCCTTTTGACAGTTTTTGCAGATACGTATGACTGTTCAATACACAGAAAAAAAACTCCATGATTTATGACTTCGAGGCTCATGAAAAAATCAGGAAAAAATGTGAATTTCAAATTTGATTTTTTTCTTTTCACAAAGCTTCTTTGTCCAAGCCCTTTTCATCTTCGTTTCTACTATTGGCTTGCGACTACACGATAGGTTATATCATTTATACTAACAAACTTTGAAAGGATATGGGATGTACGATTTGATGGAAGAGGTATGATTTGTCAAACCCATATTTTTCTGCCCGTTTGTGGTATAAGTATAGGTGGAAGTGGGCTGTATTGCGGAAGGTTCGTCGTTTTTGAAGTTTTTCATTGCATCGAAAAATGCTACTTTTTCAGAAAGTTATGGCACGTCAATGTAGAAACTTGCAGAACGCTACCAGCCCAATAAAATAAACCGTATAGAAATATTGCTCAAATTCTTTTTTAAACAAATTTGTCTACCTAGTCCAAAGTACTGTAATTTATATATCATAGTCATGAGTATTGTTTTTTGGTTAAGTTCTTGAATTATGAAACACGCAACGACCAGAAATGCAATCCTTTGAGAGATCAAATGAAACGTGCGTTATCGAAGTTTCTCCGTTTAGGTTTTCCTTTCATGTTCAAATTCACATTCCGACCTTTCTCCTTCACCCATTCAGCTCTTTTTTGTAGGGAATTCTCACGGCGAGAAGTCGGTCACTACAACGCTGCCGAACTCGTACATTGCAAGACCACCCACGAAGCGAATTCCAACCTACGCTGCCTCCGGTTACGAATCCGATCAGGAACAGCGTGGTCGGTTTTCCGTGTAACAGCATTTTCTGACTGGATTAGATGCATTAAGACACGACAACGCAAATTTTCAGAAGGCGTACTTCTTGAAGTGAATAAGTGTATGCAAAAAGCCTGCCTTGAACTGAAGACAATATCTGGACAGATAAAGGTGATGAGAAAGAGGATGGAAGAGGACGAAAGGGTGAGAAAAACTTTCATGGTCTTTTTGGTAACCCTCGATGTGATTTCGGCTGCCGTGAATTATGTTTCACGTCAAACACAGTAACATTTAAAATATGTAGACAAGTGATCCAGTTTCGTCAGTTGTTAGTTTGATTGTAACGGTAAAGGCGGGCGAAGGACGCGTGAGATTAAAGGAAGCATCCGGCCAGGTTTGAAAACTTGGAGTACAGACTCGCTCGCCCTGATAAAGCTCGTCCAAGTGACGCTCACCAGTCTGCTTCTGAAGCGAGAATACCGCTTTAGAAATAGTGACCGGGACGAGTTAATTCCATATGCCAGAGTGCGCATACCACAAAGTCATGACGTAGGGTCCCACAACGACTCTGCGTCTTAACCTTGGCGGCAGACGCCCAATTTTAAAATAAAAGCTCTTGGAATAGCTCGTTTTCAACATTTTCATGCTTTCCAAGCTTCTTTTTCGGAATGTAAACAAAAAAGATTCGTCCGCAATTTTGTCCGGACGCTGCCTTTGAGGTGTCACGCAATCAAGGTTGTCAGTAATAGGCGGCTTATGACCGATAGAACAACTCAAAAAAAGTTTTCTCAAGCTCCTCTATGCAAAACTTCTTCGAAAAAGTCATTTTCTTCCGTCATTGAGGGTTCACGTCATTTAGGATGAGCAGGCAGCAAACGACTGGAAATTTGCTGCGATGGTAGTCGATCGGCTATGCTTATTCATATTCTCTATATTCATAGTTGTATCAACGTGTGGAATAATGTTCAGCTCTCCACATCTAATTGCTTGATTATTGTTGTGCATATGTCTAAGCAGAATAAATTAGAACAAAGTACAACGAAAGACAATTTATGCTCTATCCATCCTCTTATTTACACAGTCCTCTAGAGTCGACATATCAAACAGCTTAAGATATGTTACAATACGTAACGGGTTTTATTACGATAAAGAAGTGAGCAATAACAAGTTCTTATTAACTTAAGAATAATCTCCAATAGAAAACAAACATCTGAAACAATATTGCACATAGCAAAACAAGATAAAATGAAGAAAATATGGCCAGGTTGAGCTGTCATTCAGTGATATTTTAACATAGAGGTCGAACATCCTTGAGAGAACCTTCTGATTCAACCATTCCCAGATCATCTATCGCACAAGCACCTTGGTTCGTTCGGGTGTTTTCACACAGGAATATAACCTGAAATGTTTATATGGGCGGATCTGCCTTAGCTCCTTGGCTCCTTTAACCCATGAAAATAAAAAATAGGAAAAGGTTTCTACCTTATCCGTTCCCTTCGGACACCGGAAGCTAGCAGTTTTCCAAACTCTGTCTGACACTGTTACGAATTTGTCAGAGCTGAACGGGCAGGTTTCGATGGAGCTGCAGCATCCTACAGAGAAAGAAATGAAAGCCACAACGATGTCACAAAGGAGTGAAATCACAATTCCACTGTTTGCATCTTGACTTCAGCACCTGTTTCTTTCCAAAAGCGTCAATTTCAGGAGAAAGAGACGAACACTACACATTGACACTAAGACGAACACTACACATTGACACTAAGACGAACAAACCCTTTAGCTGCACTCCATGAGTGCCCTCGTAGTACTGGAATCGTAACCGTGATTTTTCCGTGAAAGGTTCGGTAGACGCTTCAAGACCGGCCATTTCACGCGGGAACAAGAAGGTAGCTGCGTAGTAGTCACCTTCTATAAAACAACTTTCAATCTGATTGAGTCGTAATTGCGGATTGCACTTCGAGAAAACTAACCGCTGCTTTCTTTCACTCCGGTAACTCTATTCATGAACTGCCCGCTGACAACCTGGAACTTAGTGGTGAGGCCTCGAATCGACTGGGATTGGTATGCGTCCTTGTAATGACAGGTGCTTCCTGTGAAATACTATTAGAGAATGCTCGAATCTCAGTTCGGTGTCCCTATACCTACCGCTCTCGAAGTCGCATTTTGTCGCTGTGCAGATAGATTCGCTGAATTTCTGTGTTTTTGTACCTTTGGCAACATTCTGACCATTTACTTTTGACCTGTGAATCAAAATGCTTTCAGCAACAGGCCTAGAATCAGATATAACGCTCTATCCGCTTACGTCTTTGTGCTCTGTATAACTGTTTCTTCAATCTCGTGACCGAGACTTTCGGTGGATATCTTCTTTTGAGCTCCAAACGCCGATTGCCCTCCCTAAAGTGAAAATAAAGCTTTTCAACTCGAATGTGATTTTTGAAAAGTAGTCGAAACATTCTTTCAAACCTGGAATCCGTTTTGACCAAATCGCTCCGAAGCAGGTTTCGCATTTGAAGTTTCCGCTGCTGCAGCCTTTGCCCTCATTGCTTTGGCCCTCCTCTCAATTTCTTCCGCCAGCTTCGCCTGTTCCTCCAATCCTCCCTAGACAAAAAGTTTGAGTTTCAAATAATGATGCATGTGTGATTTATCACCTCTTGAGCTGTTCCGTCATCTTCTCCTGCTAGGGTCTTCTCACCATGAACTGCAGACTTTCGGGACTCGTGCTGGCTGCGAGCTGCTTCGTGTCGATGTGTCTCTGCCGCTCGGTTTGTCGTTTGTGGCTGAGGATGGGGCTGCGGTGGAGGTTGCGGCTGCGAAACAGCATTCTGTAGCTGTTCATCATTCTTGAAGGCACAAAGTATATGTGCGAAAAGCCGGTGCACTAGCGACTTACTGGTTCCTCGCATTCGGGGCCGTTTCTGTCGTATGACACCTCAATATCGCTCAAAATGGCAACATCGCCGCTCTCTCCAATGAAGTTTGAAGCGACAAAGACAATCTGAATAGGGATGATTTTTCTAGTTTTCGAGAGCTAGTAGCTAGAACAACTCACATCGACCAAGGAGGTCTTGGGCAGTACCAGTTCAGTGGCAGTCAATCCATCGGATGCAGGGAATTCTTGACAGTTGAGCAAAGGATTGTGCACTACGCCGGCATTGGGGAAGGACTCGCGAAGGCACACTTGCAATAATACGTTCTCTGACGTCCAGTGCCTAACAGACATGATCAAATACTTTGCAAATGCATAACCTGAAGCCAACAACGCTACCCGCTTACTTAGCTCGTACGGTGATGTCGCTGGCCGAACAGCCTATAGAACATGAAGCGAACTGCGCCTCGTCCGATGGAGCAGCCCCACGAGCGTATGCTACCAGATAGCTACCAGCTGAAAGCTCAGCATACTCGTTATTATGTGGCATTGTGAAATCACAACGAAATCCCCATGATCTTATAGCGGTTGCTGAGAGCGACACGGGATTCTTAACCCATTTAACAGATCGACGTATAACGGCTTATCCAAAGCTGAGGTCGAGGACTACCTATGTTGCGGAGAACCACGGAAGAAAATCATCGCTGGGGCTCTTATAGAAAACAATAGGTTTGCTTGCACGTGGAATCTGGCTTACTTTTTTGATTGGAAAGTTTTGAACGTGGTTTTTTATAGCATGGCAAGACTAGGACCCAAAAAAGTGTACTAGATTTACAGTTTGGGAGAGCAAAGCAAACTTTACAAGGTGACCTCTAAATACTGACAAAAGTCTTTACGCAAAATTTGAAGCTAAAACCTATGAATAAGTGATAAGGTCAGAAATCGCATCTTCGCTCAAAAATCTCATAAATCTCTGCCCCTGCATGTAGCAGACACATGCACTCATATATACACTTGCTATATTTTTTCTGCTTTGAAGTCAAGAAAGGAACATTAACCGTAAAATTTTTGCCTTGTATATTCTCTAATTCCTGAGATATATCGATTTTAGCAAAATCCGAAAAAATGCGACATTCTCTTCTTTCCAAGCTAATATCAAAGGAGAAAACAGATTTATCTGAAGTTAGAGAATGCTGAAGCTACTAAGAATTGAAGCAACCTTCTGTTATACAAATGACCAACGCAGAATCAGAACGAAGACAAAAAACCACAGTCATCAGCGGCGAAAGCGAATTTGACGGTTTGCGACAGTCAAAGTCGTCCGTTTCGTGTCAGTCTCGCTCTACTATGCACACGGTCGCATCGGCGGCCCGAGTTGCTCCTAAGGGTGTCCTTTAACGCGGACCATATCCGCGTTCGCAACGATCCGCAGTCAGTGTGTAACATCGAAGTTCGCGCTCGATTCGCATACGATTATTCGTCCGAGACATGTCACAAAGCGCCACAAATCTATTCGCACTTTTATAGGCGTAGTTTTATGAGGAGCGTCGGACCTCGGACACCACTTACAATGCGAATTTCCGCTCTCTTTGCTATTCAACAACAACTCCGACAAACGGACTACTCATGTAAGAAATGGAAGACTATTAAGTAAAGGGAGCTCCCTAAAAATTATATTAAAAGCTCACGAGGAGAGGGAGCATTCCTCCACGTTGTCGTGTTTATAGGTCCGGTACCAACATGCCAGTCTAGCTGATCGTCTGGTGGAGGGACATTGGCCCAGCAGCATGGACGTCCATCGAATTTACACGTGAGTGCACTTCCTGAAAACATGAAAAACTAACAGTAGTCCGAGAACTACAGAGACTAAATGTGACACTTTTTTAAATAAAGCAAGCATTGCAGCAGCAAGCAGGCAACTCTCATTCACCCCACAACCCTACCTCAGACAACGGAATTTTTGCAAATAAATTCCTGCAAGTAAAAAACGCTTTTCAAGACACGCAAAGAGAAGAGTCAACCGATGACCGATAACTTTTTTTATCACATTGATCAATCAGAACAGCCCGCTCTTGAAGTTCTAGAAAGGAAAGGCTGTAAGCTGAACATGGCTTAATCATAGACTGGCAAGGTTTGAGCCTTCGAAGGTACTTAGGGTGTCGCAGTTGATGCTCGAGAAAACTAGAGTCAAGATGAGGTTATTATTGGGTATCTCCAAAGCTTACGGACACCATATGTAGTTGCTTACAGTTTACAAACCTTCAAAACCTCAGGCATCCATAAAGGAAGCATTCGGTTCAAGTGAAGGTAGGACGCTAAGTTATGATGAGCATGTTTGAGCAAAATTCAGCTTGAAGTGATTTTACTAGCGGTATACCAGCTCCTTGCGAAATGCTTTGAGAAATTGAATACAAAATCTCATCCTATCTTGGAATGGTCCTCACAGAACAAGTGAGACAATGAAATGAACGTTGTTACCAGAAACGAGAATGTTATATCAAATCTCGGCTAGCGGTGAAACGATTATTTAGCCTCATCCCGTGAGAAAAGAAAAAGCGGTTTTCAAATTTACATGCACCTACTCGCGCTGAGATTTGCTTACTATATGTAGGAATGGTTGACCTCGACACTGGTTCAAGGTATGACGGACATGAGGATTATCTCCTAGCACGATAGTAGTGTAAAAATGGAAACCAGACATATGAAAAAACGAGTCTGTTAGAGACACTGACCGGAATTTACAGGTCCTCCACCCTCAGCATTGTATCCATCGGCACCGAATTCAGTGAGCGTGACCTTGTCACCCAATCCGTCTGAAAAAAACAGCATTATTCTAGACTGAGATGACACGAAGTACAATAGCTGATGGGCTAAGTGCAGTCGCTGCTACATCCGGTACGTCTAAATCTGAAGCGGCTTCGCTTTTCCGACCTAGTTTTTCTCGGTACGGTAATCTTCTTGCATTCGAGTTTTGCATTTCACTTTCGTATCACGACTGAATGCGGTGTACGTCTCAACTAACTAATCTGAACCCGCGATATGGCGCGCGCACCTCCTACTCCACAGCCGTTTTTGTCGGAGTTGATTGACAACTTTCAACACGGGAGCGAAACTAGAAGGGCAAGGTGGCCGTTGAGGTTTTGATTGATGAGTAACGGGAAAAACCAACAGCACAGCAATCCACAGTATAATGAGGTCGTCAGCAGTTGCATCCTACAATCTAGAGGGCAAAAAGAGACAATACATCTCGTCGCATAACCTCTTGATGCGCAATGCACGGTCCATTAGATTTTTGCAGCTTTTTGCAGCTAAGCCGAACGGCAGAAGAAGTCTTGTCCAGAGAGGTCGTTGTCGTGTGGCCTATTTCAGCGAAACAAAAAAATCTCTACATTACGCAGCTGAGTTCGCAGGGAAAATCGTGTACAGCCTACCGAGTCAGGCGAAAGTGAGCAGCGAGCGTAAATTAATCTTGACCAATTGACCGGCGTAGTGCAATAAGGAAAGTCGTATTCGCAATAAAATGCAATCGAAAGTCATGGGCAACGGACAGGACAAAGGAAGGGAGAAACTTGGCAGTCGAACTCACACTGAGCTCTGGTTGAGATGGGAGCCGTTGGACCTCGGCCTGCAGCGGCAACTCTCGCCTGTGGAACAGCAAAGGCAGGGAAAGACTGCTGCTAAATACCAGCGTTGGAATCAATATTTTATAATATTGGAATAGTTTTAGAGATTTCATATTCTCGATCAAGCAAGCAAAATCACCTGTGCAACAGCAGGAGGCTGTTGAAACTGCACTGTTTGAGCACCATACTGCACCTGACGTTCATTGGTAGGGAAGCAGCCGTAAACGGTTGAAACTAAAAGAATTTCTCTGAGGGCTTCCTCATATTTGGATTGGTAGGAATCGTGTTGATTCAAAAATTTCCTCCCATCTAGCAAAAACCTCCATTTTGAGCCACATCATAGATTTTCGGAAGTAAGTGGTAAGTCATCTGTTACAAAAACTCAAGTTCTAGTTCAAGTTGTGGAAAAGCACAACTAACATCAATTACAAATTTAGTTGTTTTGCAAGTGAGTTGATTAGTTCTTCAGTTAGTAGGGCAGAAAAATGCGTTTGTGGTATGAGAATAAAGAATAAGAGTTAGTTTTGTTTCTCATCCGAAAATTTTCTGCGTTGTTAATTGGAAGGATTGAATCCAAACAACCAATTCAAAGCGGGAAGGAATTTCTCCTATGTGTTTGAGGTTTCAAAAAGAAAAGCGGGCCAATTGGACAACGCGAAACAAGAATTCCATTCGATGACAATCTCTGCATACATTTGAACATTTCGAAAACAGGAAAGAATTTGGCTGAATTGCTCAAAATTGGCTGCTTTTGGAAGCGGCGAGGGGGACTAATGGAGTCAATGAGGGATTTCTCCAAGAGTTTTCTCTTTAGCTATAGATAAGCTTGATTTATACGGATCGCAGAGCAAAACATTATTGCAAAGAAAACTGATTAAATTTGAGAATGAATCAATCAAGAGAATTTTAGAAAATTGTACAATTGGTAAGCAAATGCAAAATAACGAGAAGCTCTGTTTGAGCACCTTCACAGTGCAACACAGGCCTAGCAAACGGACTTAGTGTTGAATTCAAGACGAGTACCCTCAGGTTAGTGAATGCCCGCATAAATGGATCCGCCAGCCGGATGTTGCCTTAGGCATCATGCTTTCTATGTTGCCCTTTGACCACTGATAATTGCAAAGCTCACCCTGCAATGAGGCTATCAGGGGAAGCCAGAGCTTCATGGTCGAAAGTAAAAGACGAGTGTGAGTCCGTGGAGATAAGGGATAAGGCGTGAGAGCGGGAGACGTTGAGGCGGGGCGCAGTCCGGGGGCCGTTGAGATGCTGCGTCCTCGATTCCACTGACCCACTTCGCCGCGCGACGATCACTGCTTCTTAGCTGTGTGCCCAGTCGGCCACTGGTCGCTCGGTCCCACCCCAATCCCGCCTGGATCGTCGTCGTCACCGGTGTCGTCGACTCCACCCTGTGAATTCCTCGCCGGGTCGCCAGCGGCTTACAACCGGATTCCACTTTCCGCACGCGTGTATCAAGTCAAGTTATCGCCATTCTCGATCGCTCGGATAACTATCTCTGGACTGGCAAGCGCTCGCTGAGAGATTCGCTTGCGGAAATGCGAAAGCATCACACAAGCTGCTGAACAATTCGAAGATCTCTGGCCTGCAGCCTGCACTATAATTCACGTTTGAGAAGCGGAGAAGAAACAATGCGGAACAAATTTGAATTGCATCAGCCACTACAGTATGCTGCACGAGCTTCATGATCCGGTGTGGCCGGGGTGAATAAGTCTACTCTAAGCCAAGAAACATTTTTTACGGGAAGACCATGTTGTCCATCAAATCTGAAGAAGCATAGCAAAAGTGTGATCGGAGTTTCCAAGCTAACGAGTGATTATTGTATGAAAGATTAATTGTAAGAATGTAAGAGTGATAGCTGGATAACGTAGAGAAGACCATCGCAAGAATTATGAAAGAATTGTGTGAAGTGGATAGTCCTCCGAAGCAAGCTGTCCGAACAGCCAAAAAGTCAAGATTATGCGACGTCACCATTGTGTCTCTGTTCTGTTCTCTACGACTTCGTTCGATTGTTCTTTAGCAAAAACAGCTTTTTGTATGTTACATATTTTCGTGTAACGCGTCAGGAAATAAAGTACAGAAAATGAATTCCGTATCGAGTTTGTGAACAAAGCATTCCGATATAGCACGGGGTGTAAATACGGAGATGTGATACCTTTAGATGTTAGCACTGGACTTGCTTTCCTACTTCTGAAGCTGAATGTGGTAAGTGTTCGCTTCTTGTGAAGTGTTCACTAGCGAGTTGGCTTACTAACAAGGCTTGGCTTGTAAGTTAGTGCAGATCAATATTTTATCGTATATGTACAAACTGCAGTAAATCATTTTGGTATTGCCATCACCGGGAAGTTCTTAACATTCCACAGTTCTGGTAGCTGACCTGAAATGCACTTATGGAAAAGTCATACTTCAAGCTTAAGCCTTCTAGAATAATCTTCTTGCAGGATATTGGAAAGTGGAGTCATTGACCCGCAACAGTTCTTGATTTGCACTCGTTTCCGTTCGCTTTTTCTTTCACATACAACTTGTACATCGAAGATGAACAATGATATCAATCCTCTTCGATTTTTTTGATCGCCTGCGACGCTTTTCACCAAGACATGAGACATTCGCAGAGAAAAGTGACAACGTGACACATTTTCACTTCTCCGTCATTTGCGAACGAGGACGCCACTTACCAATATCGGCGATTTCATAAAAAAACCGAACTGTGTTAATGAATATGTGTAGTACTGGGAAAGTAAATTTAGCAGATTTACAAAATGTTTGAAGTGTGTGTTATGCACACAGAAGAGTGCTGCTGTATAGGGCGTTCTTGTTGTATAGAGGGCCTTGGTAGTAATAAAAAGGGTTGTCAGCTACATGTTCATTTGTATCATTATTTCTTCCCTTCGGAGAAGGATACAAAAATGATTTCGCTTAAGTTACATATACATTTGTTTGACGAAGAAAAGAGAAGACGCAAAGTATGATTCCAGAGATAGCTATTATGTATAAACAAGTCTATAACTAAATATATAGGATACGAACACGACCTCCTGGCAAAGGTCTATGACACCATGTGTTGTACAAGATGATGGATGTTCAAATTGAACTTCGTAAAGGTTCTCATCAACTTTTTTCATCTTTGTCTCCTTGTTTTCAATCCTTCAACTCGAGGTTAACGCAAAGCCAAGTAAGTTGAGATGCATTTTGAACTCAAATGGATGTTAAATCAGCATTTGCAATATTATCTGAATAGAAATGCCATGATTTCGATAAATGCATCTATCAAGAAAAAAGAAGAATGAGATAGCCGTCAACTGTACGAACTGATAGGTATAAATTTTATCTCTTCGTAAATCAGTACAGATGGATAATTTATGAACTGTGAGAGAAAGCCTTTCAAAAGATGCCATGATCTTGATAGCTGGGCAGTATAGATTCAGATGAAAAAAAGGAATGCTAGGAGAAGTTCGATATCCCCGGAACAGCTAGCTACCGCCGTGGCAGTACAAGAGGGTGTCCATCAGTACGTTGGGTAGCAAATTTTTGTCGTTCGAACCACAAAGTTGAGGGTTGAAAAAACTCATATTCTGCGTTGGTCCTTGCCTCAACTGCAAGATCTTAGCATTTTTCTCAGTATTTTAGGGAGGACGAAATGTTAAGGAACGCCACAAGTGTAAACAAGATTGCATTCGATTACGTATTTGATTCTCTTTTTAGTTATCTACACTACTGCTCGCGATCGTCAGAAAGGTCACCGATCCCAGCGTAGTTCACTGAATTCCGCTTCGCTTTTGATATATCTTGGTTTTAAATGGACGTTTGTATTAAAAAACATCATTCGACTCAGCTTAGCGAAGCGCCTCTTCCGATTTGAAGAACTGCTGTTTGGATATGGAAAGTGCACTGTAGGCGGTCATTTACGAATCCTTTCAGATTTCTTTCGGTAGGTTTCTCAGTGGCCTATTCATTGCACACTGAGTAACTTACCGAAGGCGAAGATAAGGATCTGAGGGACTACCGTAATCAAAAGGAACTTCTTATATCAGAAGATGCGCTTCGCCGAGCGGTAATTGATGAACTTGGATTCAAAATTCGTCCACTCTGAACCAAAATGGCGGATTTCGGTAAACTCTAGTGGAGTTCGGTGACTTTCATGACTAATTATGAGCGGTTTCGTATGTTCCATATTTTGTATCCAAATGTGCGTATCCGTTTCATCACCGCTACCCCGCCAGATTCCATTCTTTTGTGGTGTCTATTATGGTCATTTATGATAGAGTGTGTAAGACTTACTCAGACAAAAATTCGGACGAGTGACGAATGCCGGACTCGCCGGACCGACGGAGAGCGAGCGGGTAGGCATGAGAGATGCCGCACATGTCCGGACTTGCGGCCGCTCGTGCGGTTAAGGAGAATGAGTATAGCAATTCTTGACCGGCTCCAAGACAAACAAAGGTGCTGGAGCGAATGCGAGAAGCGCGAGAGTTGTGCGTGAGAAGTTGTCCTTATCTTACACTAACTTTTTTCTGAATCTCCTTTGTATCGGTTTTCTTTTTTTAGATCTCTTCTCCTCACGTTCGAATGCTTTTAATGTATGTTGTTATAATGGCGCTTCCTTTATATAACTTTAATTACTTGTAGTGCATTTTCATAGAAAGTAAGTATTGTGAGTAACACTACTTATTTTCCGGGCAACACGCTTACTGAATCTGGGCTACTCATCTTATTCTTTATTGTGGTCGCTGCGTGCTTAGGAGCCACTGGTATTCTCCATCATTTCAGAGGTTAGTTTAAGTGATTTCCCAAACAACATAACCCAAAAAAGTTTGCTCAGAAGGGTTATTTGGGGAGTTACTTACGGATATCATAATGACTTTGCTTGAGAGCGCCTCTAATATTAGGGTAGTTTTACGGACCAAAATCAAACTGCTGAACGTAATTCTTCTTGCAAAAAGCTCACGAATTATTATTGAATCAGCCTACCCTCCAGCTCAACTCATATGTCTTTCAACAAAATGATGTGATTTGGAGGGGCGCCGCCACGCTTGCAAAGCAAAGCGCATCTTTGGCGATGGCAACAAAACAATGTGGAAAAGCTTTGTTACGTTGTTTTTGGCGCCACGTCACGCTAGACAATGCGTCCGCAACATAAGCAAGATATTTTCATCAATCCGTAAATCCATGCCAGACACATGGGTTGAGATCGAGGGTACATAATTTCAAGCTTACTCATGAATTCAAGGGTACCTTCATCCATGCGTATCATCCTCGGCTTTTGAAAAGAAGTTTAATTACAATAAACTGTCGAAGTAGAGTTTGTCACCATTTTGCATCGTTGGTTGTGGTCATTTCTTGCAGTTCAGTGACGGAGCTCACCGTCATCAAAAATCGGGGTCTCCTGCCGCCCAATCAACAGCAACTTCTACTTATCCATGCTCATCTACATCAAAAAGCGGTATTTAAGTGGTAATTAGAAATATGATGTGAAGAAGCTGAATACTTCAGCGATATTTGTAGTGTATTCTAAAATAAATAGGTTGGCTATGAATACGAAATTGTAAGTATGGCAAGAACAAGGGTTATAACAAAATGCTTCGAAAAGCTGATTCCGTACGGCCGGTATTAGTCGGCAGATTGCTCGGCTTTTGTGCGACCGAAGTAGCGCATAGCAATGATGACACCGCAGGAACCGAACGGTGGTCCCGCAACCTTAAACAGAGCCCGGCGCAGATGGTCTGGAGTCAAACTGGACTTCGTTTTCGAAGTTAGAAACAACGGAAATATCGTTTTTATAGGGTCCTGGAGGAAGCGCCGATAGAAAAAACGACGAACATGTCAGTCTATACGAGTTGAACGCGTTCTTTGGTAAGCGCGCGAATTTCAAACGCAAGACTCAAACAAACAAATGGCTTGTTTACAGTGCACAAACAATCACATGGCTCCGAATTTGTGCTATGGGTATACAATATTACTCCAAACTATCTTATGTAAAAAGTTCCTAAAACTTATGTGTCCTAGTATGTTCCCGAATTTGTTGGTTTCTAGACCAACACCAAACCAATTGAGTTGGTTCGGAGCATAAATATCGGAGAGTTCACATAAGTTTTAGCTCTTTTTGATTTGGACCATTAGAACGCTCAAAAATCTATCATAAAGTGAAGAGAGC